GAGAGAGAGAGAGAGAGAGAGAGAGAGAGAGAGAGAGAGAGAGAGAGAGAATTAATGACAGATTAAACTGGATACTGTCGGTTCATCTGAAGTCACTTCTCTGCTGAATCCTGTAAACACGTTTTTTAACCCGTTTACTGGTGAAAAAATCTATATTTTCTTTGTAGAGCTTTCTTGCTGAGGGAATAGTTCTCTCAAAGTCAATAAAGGATAATATTTTGCCATTTTTCCAAAATCTTTGTCTCTATAAATAAAGGTAACATTCAGTCAATATAGAACTTGAAATGAACTCCACAGATTACAGCTTTGTGTGGTGTAAAGTTGTAAAGAGGTTTTTACAGAATTAACGTAGCTCGATACATTTAAGTTAATGGATTTAATGTTTGAGCTGTTATTGCTGGTTTATTTTATTGTATTTGCAGCCGGCTTATGTATATTTAAAGTTCTTTTTTTTAATCAATTCATGGGTGGAATACTCTTTAAGGGCACATTTACATGCCTGAGAGGAGTATCGACCTGTAGGCTCCACCTTTTTGGCCATATTTGGATATTTTGATTCAAGACAGACCAAACAACCAAAACTGTGATGAGCAATCGTCCCAAACTCACAAACACTACGGACGTTTTTCTGCCCAATAAACAAGAGCGATGTCCTACCGGCAGCATATAACTCCCTACCTCACAACCTTCCTCTCAACCGTGCTGACTAACTAGGTCCACTCCGGCTCTCAGTCACGTATATAATGAGGTGCAGCGCGGTGAGATGCCAGGAGGTGAGTTATTAACCCGAGCGGCTGTCCAGGGCATCCGTCACATTAATGAAGTGGAGTCAACGCCCCGAGGGGCCGTTAGGGAACAACACCTCATTACCATAACAGAGCGCCTTCGGGGCCCTGAATGAGAAACAAAGAGCAGAGGTCACATGATGCGAAGAGGAAATAAAGTGACGCAATGAGGTGTGTGTTCACTAGCAGTCACAATACAGAGAGAAATGTTGGGAATTCATTGATGGAATTTCCTCCCAAGAGGAGAAGCTAAATATTTACTATCGTGACCGATTTAATGTTTCTAGTTTTAGTTTCTGCCCAATAACTGACTGGCTTGTGTTTTCTTCAGGCATCACACTGGATGTCCAACATATTTCTCCAAGACATTCTATGAGAAGCTGCCAAAGTTTATAAAAGACATCCAGCAACAAAAGAAAAAACAATGCACCTTGTGCTTCTTTAAACCCGGGCAGGGAACAAGAACCTGAGGAGGCTTTGATTTCTTTGTGTCATCGTGAGTCATTTCTAAAGCTTTTATTTCTGTCACACTGAAGAGCAAACCGGGTTCATGTTTCTCACAATGACAATAAAAAGCATGGAGACAGTGTCTTAAAGAACAGCGATAACCAGCAGTCTAAGTGTATTGAGCTTTCTTGTAAGGATAGGAAGGACTCTTCTGCATCACTGGTTTAGTGAGTTGAAAAAGCTACAATCTAAAGAAAACTCCCAATCAATTAAACATGTTGGTTTAGATTTCATGGGAAATTCGAATTCAAATTATTTTTGGTAACGTCTGTCCTTCGTCAGTTCATCACTTTGATCCAGACTGAAATATCTTTACAACTATTTGATGGATAGAAATCTAGTCCAGACGTTCATGGTCCTCAGAGGATGAATCCTACTGACTTTACCTCTGGCAATGCTCCTGACAGACTTCTCCTGACTCAACATGGTAAACATAGCTACTAAACAGGAAGATGTTTGCATTCAGATGTTTAATCCATCCATCTAACAGTTGTCGAGATATTTCTCAACAACCTACTGCTGTATGTAATTCCTGGAGCCTCGTCTTTAAGTGTGGCTAAAACTATTAAAGTGGTGGCGGCCATTGATCACTGTAGTGAGTAAATATTCTAGAGTATCAGTAGCAAATGAAGCTGTAGAAGTTCCATCAGTTTATGTCAAACAAACAATTGATTCACTTTGAACAGAAACTATAGATGATGTGACCGTGATTGAACACTAGAAGACCTTAACGTCACGACCGCAACATGAAATACAATCCAGAGTACAGAAAGTGGTCTTGAGACAGAGAGCAACCTCGAGTACGACAACACTAAACCGAACAGTAGGTCTGTTTGAATCCTGTATGAAGACTCTTTCGTGTCCACGTTACAACTCAAATACCAATCACCAATCCTCCACATGAACCAAAATCTAGTCGGTGTTACAAACTTCAAACCAAGAGATCCCTCCGAGTGCTTAGAACCTCTTTTCCAAATGAAATGTCATGACCCAACCAGTTTGTGATCGGTTCAGAATTAGTCTGTGGTAAATTAGGAGATGAGGTCTCCTGCTGTGTGCTGTTTATTCCCCCTGAGCTCTGGATGATAGCGGTCTAATCTAGGATTACATGTTTGACAGTCTGCAGAGGGACAGCACCTTCAGTATGAAGACCTCCGTACAGGAAGTAGAGTTCTCATGGAAAGCAGGTGTTTTCCAGGCAGGCAGCCTGTAATCTGACTGCTTTAAAACCAGAATAGCTGCATTAGATTAAGTCTTTATGAGTAAAGAGGAGATCACTTCGAAAGTTTGGATCAGTTTGGGTTTTAAAACGTCCTGCAGGGTGGATTTTACAGAACAGAAGAACTATAGAGGGAGCAGATGGAAGGACTCTCTACATGGTTTAAATCAATAGCAGGATAAATGTCTTTATTTCATACCTAAGATATAAGACAATATGGCCAATGAGTGGAATACATCTTTAATATATGGGCATGTTTAGTACAGGTCAAAACAAACAAATATTTGATTTAGATTGAAGATTAAAATGTTATATGATCCAAAGCTCCAGAATGGCGACTAAATGGATTTAGAGGAGAGCGACTGCTTTGGAAGTTTTAGAGAAAGATTTCATTAAATAAAATGATCTGCCTGATGCACTGTTTGGGTTCAACAATAGAAATGAAACAGGATTAGAGCGGCGGCCATTTTTATGTCTTCAGTTGCAATTTGGACCGTTACGCTAATTTCCGTATGAACTAAACCGACTCACGGCCAGTCGCTGACTCACTGAGGGGAAGTTTTGCAGTAACGACTAAAATGAGGAGTGAAGTAGTAACATTAGGGAAAGCGTAGAGAGCAGAATAAATGAGTAAAATCAAGTGAAGCCGATGCGGAAGTGTCTTAAAGCTGCATTCTCTCTAGAGATCTCTACTGGTCCATTTAGAGTCAAACAGACCATAAAGCAGAGTTCAAAGTATCTTTTCCTGCTAGCTAGCTACAAGCTAGGCTGAACCATGAGTGAGGATGATACACTAGATCTGCCTGCGCGATCAGTTCAGAGAAAACATTCTGCAGAAGATAAAGCGTGTCTTGTCCTTCTAGTCTAGTGGAAGATCACAGGATCGTCCAGTCATCCATTTCATTTCAGTTCACTGCAGAAAATTTAATCCCTAAATATAACAGAGGGTTGAAATGTAGAAAAAGAAGAGACGACTCTAAACTAATGTTTCTGAGGAATTAAAGAGTGACGGAGCACCAAAGTGGAACTAAACTCCCTCCCCGGCACTTTCCCATGAATCATTGCATGACCATACATAGAGAATGAATGTGATTTACACATTCCAGCTGCGTTACAGCTCCTGCCGGCTGCAGCTTGTTCCCTTCAAAAGGCAGCAATAAAGAAACAATTAGGAAGAAGTGACATGTTTTGTTTTTTATGTTTCTTTGCGGCCGCCTCGCTCTGGTGCCGTTATTCACTCTGCTGCTTTTAATCACTGGCCTCCCAACACTCTGGCAGGGTCGCAACCTCGAGTTTCAGGGTTCAGAGGTGATTAGTTCAAATAACAAGAAGCAGCTTTTAATGCGGTGAGGATGTTTTTACATCGTTATCACCTCAGGATGGAGCGTTTCCTGTTCTGTCCAACACTCTGGACCCTTTATCTCAACTACTGGACAGATTGTAGATGATGAATATAAATTTCATCACAAAGGATCACCAACGATTTTGGTGACCTTCCTTCTTCACCATCAGGACCAAATTTCCTCATCTATACAGAAATGTTAGCTTTTTTTAAGGCTTCGTTGGATATGAAACTGATTGAATCATCAGCATAAAGATGAACAGTTGTATTAAAAGTATCCGGTTCTTTAAAAACAAAAAAAGACGTCATATTCCGTTTGGATATTCTGAATTAGGCCTTATTCCAAATGGAGCATTTTATGAGTAAAACGTGTGATGTGTCTATTATTCAGGTTTTAGGAGCATTCTTTGGACATATTTACAGCTCATTCAGAATATGAGTCTCAATAGAGGATGTTATGCCTCCTTCCTCTTTACGAGCAGCTCTCTGTGTTGAACACAAACCAACTAACTAATTGTTTGCAAAGCTGGAGAAGAGATGCCCAAAAGAAAAGAGAAACACACCTTCTTATAAACGTTATGAAGGACGTGGATATCAACCGGAGCAAATATCACAACGCCGACCTTTTCAATGAGGCGGCTGAAGGAATGAAAGAGGGAGGCTGAGTTCACACTGGTTATGTTCATCATAATATGCACGGCTGCATGTCAACGGGGAATATTAGTGTCATTTTCATTTTTGTGGAAACTAAGAAGGAATATTGTGTTTATCAGGAATAATTAGTGAGCATGTTAACATAGTCATTGTTACAGCCTCCATTTTCACATCTGTGAGTTTTTATCAATCCTACTTTCCAAATGCTCTTAGTTTTTAGTGATTAGCTCACTGCTATCAGGCTAGCCGTCATACTTGATCTATTATTAAATCAAAGGTTCTTTTGGGGGATACTTCCTGTACCGATGTGTACAGATTGTAAAGCCCTCTGAGGCAAAATAAAAATAAATATAGATTTAGAGTCTAGACTTTTGTTCTCTTTAACAGCACAGTTTTCGTTCTAATGATTGTTTATTGTGTCTCATATT